TGTGTGTGTGTGTGTGTGTTGTGTGTGTGTGTGTGTGTGTGTGTGTGTGTGTGTGTGTGTGTTTATAGAACCTGAACCCCTCCCTGCAGGCTCAAGCCTAAGCCCCTCTGTCCCTGGGCCCAGCCCTGTGGGAGATGGGCAGGGATCCCTCCCCCATCTGCTCCCAGACACCCTCCCCTGTAGCTGTGAATTGTCCAGGAAAGCAGCACAGCCTTGACACCAGGTAGAGCTCCAAAGGCAGGAGGGAGGTGATGGGGGTGAGGATGGGGGAGGGGGCAACTCTGGCCGCTAGTTCCTGTGGGAACTGTTTCTCCGCTGGCTGGGTGAGCAAGCTCTGGCCAGGGAGGCTGGTTGGGTGTCCTGACCCAGGCTGTCTGCTTCTTCTCACTTTGGCAGATCTGGTTTACTCACATGTGAACTTTGGCCTCCCTCTCTTTCCCACACATCCAGAGTCCAGGATGGAACATTCTAGAACACCCCCGCTCCCTGGAGACCCTCACCCTTTGGCGCAGCACTTGCCCTGGACCTAGGCTGTCCCTCATGACCACCGTGACATTCTCCATCCCGCTGTGGAGGGCCCTTGACGTCAGTGAGGCGGTACTGAGTGTGAGGCGGCAAATGAGGACCTTCCGTTCTCTACGAATCCACGCATGGTGGAGAAGGTCAGACACCAGTCCTGTGAACCTGGGCACGGCCTCGTTTTTTGATGGAGTCAGCCTCACTACTGCTTATAGTAGTGTTTATAGCATTTTCCCCTTGTGATTTGAACAATAATGTGTGTTCTGGAATCTTGTCCCAGAATTTTGCCTTTTAGCACGACATCCCCTGGGAAGTGAGTGGCCCTCCCAAGGAGGTTGAGGACTTTAGGGATGTCCTGGCTCCCCCGGGGAGGCCGAGGGGGTTTTTCATGAGTGACACATCCCTCGGGGCTGCAGTCAAGGCTGTTGACCCCCTGCTCCATTTGCAGAGCTAGTCTGATCCCAGCTACCAATCCTTCCCACACTCTCTGGCTCTTGGGTTTCACCTCTAGCCCAGGGCTGAGAGAGGAGGGGCTTCCAGGCCTCTGAGGCCTCTGCCTTACTCCTCACCCGGGGTCCTCAGAAGTACCTGAAGCCTTCTCTGCCCCGATATGGGTGCTTTGGCCCCAGCTTGGGAACAAGGAAGTGAAGCCTGAGGCTGGAGGCCTCATTTCCTGGAAGAAAGGGCCTGGGCAGGTCTCTCACAGCTCCAGAAAGTTCTCTCTGATCACCTAGCTTACTCATCTAGGCCAGCTGTCCTCCATCTTGAGCAGGTGTCAGCATCTCTTGGAGGGCTCGTTAACACACAGCCTGCTGGCCCCACCCTCAGAGTTCCTGACTCAGTGGGTCTGGGGTGGGACCCATCATTGGCATTTCTAACGAGTTCCCAGGTGGTGCTGCTGCAGCTGGCCCAGGGGTCACACTTTGAGAACTACTGCTCTAGGCTGCACCCAGCCCCTGGCACGTATGCTAATTTGTGTGGTAAAGAGCAGCTGTATATGTGGTAAAGGTGCGAGTTCTGACTCTACCACTAACTGTGCAGCTTTGGCCAACACACTCCACCTCTCTGTGCCTCAGTTCCCTGCTACAAATGGGAGATAGTGATAATATAGGTAATTATGAGAAAACACATGTAAATCACTAGACCCCAGACAATGGGTCATGACTGGCCTAAACCCATCCTAGTGACTCTGTTCTCCGCTGTCTTAAGGCACTTTGCAAATGCTCAATAAACACCAATTATCATCGTGATGACCCTGAACTTGGCTGTTTCTCTGTGGTGGGTGTTGTCATTCCCTCTCGGATGCATTCACCTTCCCCCACAATAGCCGGGTTGTGCCTTTCTTGGAGAGAGGGTGCTGGGGCCCTAGAGTTTGTGCTGGGAAGCAGAAGGGGCCCAGGTAGGGGTCACCTGCTCTGCCACCAGACAGAGCCCCGATGGGCACAGTGCTGGCAGAGCTGTCACCCTGACCACTGCTCGCCAAGCCCAGCTCCAGGGAGAACCGGGCTGGGGAAGGCCAGCATGGCGGCTGCTCCTGGTTTTTATCAGTATCTCCCACCCGCAGCCTTCCAGGGTGGTCAGCACCAAGATGTGAGCTGGGGAGAGAGGACAGATGGAGTTGGGGTAGGGGAAGCGTGGAAGAGTGGGAGAAGGGAATTTGCACAGTGTCGACAGCACTGACACTCAGCTTACGTTTGTGCAGCAAGTGGCAGCTGAGAAAGTGCATTTAGCCTGCTGTTGAATGTCTGCAGCACAGGGATGATTATTCTCCTCCCCTTCTAGGTGAAGAAATTTAGGACCAGAGAGGTGAAGTGACTTGCTCAATGTCACAGCGATCCAGTTGTAGACCTGGATCTAGGTCTCGCCTGTCTCTGTTCCCACACCCTCTGCTTCCAAACGGGGCATCGGCCCCTGGGTGATGGCTCTGGGCCTGCCGTGAGAACCCCCATTCTGCCCGCCATCCCACACCAGCATCTCCCCTTCACCTGCACGAACTGCTCCAGCGCCCGCTGGTCCAGGCACGTGTAGTTCTCCAGGAAGCGCAGCTTCTCAAACTGAAACTGGTCCCTGGAATGAGCCTCCGCTTGCTTCTCCAGCAGCTGGAAGACGGTGGCGCCGAGCAGCAGGTAGCAGACATAAGCCAGCAGTAGGGGCAGCACCCGGCCACCCCAGCAGCTGCAGAGCCCAGCGTGGGGCATGGTGTAGCTGGGACTCTGCCAGGGCTTTGGGGGGAGAGACGGGAAGCGCCCCGGGACCTGTGCCCAGTCTCCTGCCTGCCTCACCCTCCTCAGCACAGGTGTCTGGAGGCTGGGAGTCTGTTTGAACAGTGCAGCTCAGCTTGGCTGCACTAAGTGTGTTGAGTGCAAACAGGTCTGCCACCCACCCCCACCCAGCCGTTTTTCTATGGAGAGAAGCAAATCAGTGAATCAGTGGCACGGACCCCTCAAATAGACCTACCAGGTCATCCTGAGGTCATCATGTCTCACCCGCTGCCTCTAAGTTGGATGGGTGTTTCTGGGCCAAATCTGCTACTCTCCCGTACCCTGCCCGGGCCTGAATGGGCCCCTTCGACAGCCCCTAGCTCCTCACCCATGATGGCTTCAAGCCCCCAAGCAAGGGAGCTGGGAAGAAATCAGAATGGGTGTGAATAAACCTTGTACTCAGTTGCCTTGGCAACAAAATGGGTTAGGAGAATTGACCTGCCTATTGGGGGAACCTGAGGATGAGTAAACTGGGTGACAAATCAGGGCAAAGCAAATAGACGACAGTCTCAATCAGGAACAATATCGGGGTTGATGCTCGTAACGAACTGGAAGCATTTGATGCACAGTTTTTGCTGATAATTTTCCTTGCTTGATATCCTGTAGCTGGTTCCCCTCAGAGAATACTGTGTTGGTGAGATGTGTGTGGGAATAAAAAAACAGGCTCAAAGCAGATCCTGGCCCCGGGATGTTGACAGTGGGTGGGATCGAGGGTGTTTTTCTCTCTTTCCCTTCTTTGCTTATGTGTGTATATAATAGTTTTATTGCGATATGATTCACATACCATATCATTCACACATTTAAAGTAACCAACTGAATGGTTCTTAGCATATTCTTAGAGTCGTGCAACCATCCCCACAATCAATTTTAGAACATTTTCATCACCTCGAAGAGAAACCATACACCCATTAGCTATCAGCCTTCCTCCCCACAGCCTGCCCTAGCCTCTGGCAATTGTTAATCTGCCTTCTGTCTCTACAGATTTACCTATTCGGGACACTTTATACAAATGCCATCATACAACATGTGGCCTTTTATGTCTGGCTTCTTCAGTTAGCATAATGTTTTTAAGGTTCATCCATGTTGTAGTATGTGTCAGTTCTTCTTATTTATGGCTGAATGATATTTCATTGTAGGGCTACACGAACATTTTATTTACTCATTGATCAGTTGATGGGTATTTGGGTGGTTTCTACTTTTTAGCTATTATGAATAATGCTGCTATGAATATTCATGTACAAGTTTTTGTGCAAGCACATGTTTTCAATTCCTTTGGCTATATACCTAGGAATGGAATTGCTGGGTCTTATGGTCACTCTGTTTAACTTTTTGAGGAAGCGCCAGACTCTTTTCCAAGGAAATGGCTGCACCACTTTACATTCCCACCAGCCATGTACGAGGGTTCCAAGCTCTCTGCTTGTGTTTCCTAATGTTTTTTTTTTTTTTTTGCAGTGAGCTGCGGCAAGAGGTACCATGAATTGCCTGCCTAATATCCTTTCCTCCCTGGCTAACAGAACCCCACTTTTGTACATGTCAGGCAATGGAGCATGATTGGTCTCACCCATCATAATAATCCTGCTCTCCACTGTCTGAGGCTAGGTTCTCCAGGAGCAGCCCTGAAAGAGGCTTTTGTGTCTGAGTGTGGAATAAGTGAAGATCGGTGAGGGAGTGGGGCGAATGGGGCCAAAAGGCACCATCCTTCCCACCTCCGCCTGGGCCCTACGGAGCCCTGGCAGGTCAAGCACACCCAGTTACTCCCAAGTGGAGGCAGGGGAGCTGGGCTCTTCTATTCCCACACCAGCCAGCGATTTGGGTGTCTGGCTCTGTACATCCGCAGCAAGATGGCTCCAGGAGTCCATGACCAGTCCGCTGAAGTGCCCCAAGTGCAGGCCAGGCCATTGGAAGCAAAACCACGTTAACGTGGGGAGAGGGGCACAGAAATGGGGAGGGGATCAGAAGATTGACAGTGTCCCTTGCACCTACTTTCCTAGCTCCTTTGCAGCTGGGGCTGCCATGTGACCCAGCTCTGGCCAATCAGATCTGGGCAGAGTCGGCGGTGGAGGTGCGGGGGCAGGGTTGTTCTCTCCTGACAAAGGGTTCAGCCTCAGCCAGCCCATCTTCCCCCTGTCTGCCCTGCATGCACACATGACTGCACCTGCTGAGCCGATTTGTGTCCTTGAGGGAAAAGGTCAAGAGTATTGCAAAGATGCTCAGCTGATTCCTGCGCTCACCTATCTCTAGATCTCCTTTTATGCTAGAAACATAAACCCTGTTTGTTTAAGCTACTGTAAGGCATTCTGCTACTTCCCGATGGTTACATGAAATTTTGTTTTTTCAATTGTTTAAGGCACATTTGAGTTGGAAGGCATAGGAACACTCACCAGGTATCTTCAGTAATTGAAATAATTTGTGGTAGGAAGCCCAGGGCAGCTAGGGTCCCGGAACAACCAGGCCTATGGGGCCTATGATTGGGCAATTTTCTCCCTCTGTTCTGTACCCCTTTTTGCCCAAACTCTGCCCCAGGATTACCCCTGAGATCGGGTCAGTGTCACGCCTATTGCCCTCTGCTTCTTTCTCTTGGTATTTCTTGGCTCAAATCCCCTAAGAAGGCAGTGTGTCCAAGGGCACCCTTTCATGTGGGCCACTTCAGAGCTGAGGTGGGCTGTCCTGAGGTTAATCCCTACCCTCAGCCAGCAGACGTGGACACGTACAATGTCCCTTGGAAGGAGCTATGGGAGGAAGACACTATAGCAGGCATTTCCAGGACAAGCAACTATGGCTCTGTAATGGGGAGGGGGGGGATGGGCAAGGGAGGGAGAGGAAGGGAGAGAAGGAAAGGGGGAGGGAGAGAGAAGTAGATGTGTCTTATAGAAAATAAAAACAAGAGGAGACTTTTGCCATTTGCCAGTATATGAATCATCAAGAGAATGGCGGGGACCCGTGGTCCTTCATCTGCTCTAAGGCCCAAACCAGAACGACGACAAATACAGGGAGTGGAGGTGCAGGCAGGGCCATGGGGGCTGTCTATTCGAAGTATCCTGAGGCTGTCACAAGTGCTGAAGGCAGGCAGAGGGGGTCCTCCATCATACCTTCTCTATCCTGTGGTTCAGGTGGGGCCCTGAGGGTGGGGGCTGCCTTCTCTGCAATCCTGCGGATCCTGGGCTCACAGAGGCCACCCTTTACAAGGCCCTCCTCACACTCAGAGCTTTCCCAGGCAGCTGGGATGTCACAAAACTCACCCTCGACTGGTTTTACCTCGTGCTTTGGAGACATGGGACAACATCATCTCGTCACTACAGACTCTCTAATTCCTGGTTTTAAGCAAGGGTTGTAGTTAGATCTGCAAGGCTGTGTGATAGTCAAATCCTATTTTATTGCCCTGGAGAAGCTCAATATGTGAAGAGTTCTCTCTTGTTTAGGAAGCTTATCTGTTGATGTCTGGGGGGATCTCAAGCAGGTCTTAGCAACCTCTGTAGCCTGAATGTCCTCGACAGGTCCGGATACCATCCACAGGTAATGGTGGTTCTCAGGTGAAGGACATGAAAGGAAGAGGAGGCACTATCTTCATGGGAAAAAGGGGTGAACACAGCGGGCCTGAGGGGCATCTATGATATGTTGGGGTGTAGGGAGGGCTGGATCAGCTATCACTGAACCCCCCCACCCCTGCCTCAGATCCTGAGCAGGAAATGGTACCAGGTTCACTGTGGGCAAAGCACTCCATTCATTTATGGGCTACAGTCGTCTCCTTTTATCCGCAGTTTCACTTTCTGTGGCTTTAGTTACCACGGTCAACTGTGGTCTGAAACTATTAAATGGAAAATTTCAGAAATAAACAATTCATGAGTTTTAACTTGTGCACTGGTCTGAGTAGAGTGATGAAATTTCTCACCATCCTGCTCTGTCCCACCCAAGATGTGAATCATCCCTTAGTCCAGTGTATCCACGCTGTGTTCACTCCCTGCCTGTTTGTCACTTAGCAGTCCTCTTGGTTAACAGATTCACTGTCAAGGTACCTCAGTGCTGGTGTTCAAATAACCCTTCTTTTGCTCAATAACAGTATCAAGTGCAAGAGTAGTGATGCTGGCAATTCAGATTTGCCAAAGAGAAGCTGCGAAGTGCTTCTTTTAAGTGAAAAGGCATATAGGAAAGAACATGGTATATATAGGGCTCGGTACTATCTGCAGCTTCAGGCATCCATTGGGAGTCTTAGAACATATCCCTGTTAGATAAGGGGGAACTACTACTATCCTTATTGAGAACCTACTATGTGCTGGTGAAGTTGGCCAGGCTGTGGCCTCCTCCCACCTTTCCTGGCTGCTTTCTGTCCCTGGTGCGCTCTCTCTCTCTCTCTCTCTCTTTCTCTCTCTCTCTCTCATTGTATCCTTCCTCTCCTCCTCTCACACTCAGGTTTTCACAAAGACCAGCAAGGCATTACCTGACTGGAGTTAAGGATAGAGTCTTTCTCAGGAGCACTTCCATTTTAGTGAGGGGACTTCTGAAAATCCAAAGCTACAGAACCAAAGAATAATGTAATGGTGGACTTGGTGACTGAGGGTCAACTTAAGAGTTCCTCAAAACACTCTGTCCCAGAGAGGGAGCCCCTTTTCCTCTCCCCGTCCCTTTACTCTTTTAATACACACTGATTGAGACCTTCTGTGTGCTGGAACCTGTCTTGGCGCCTCCTTCTGGTTGGCTGTGACGTCCTGTGGTCAGATTTAGGAGAGGGCCTACGGACTGCAGGGGCCTCCCCTGCCCTTCCAGTGTTCCAGCTCCCTGCCTGACACTTCCCCATGTGGGGCACCACTCCACTGTGAGTGACGGATGGACACAGGTCATGATTTATAATCCCTTTCAGGGAATTATTGCTGCTAATGGGCCGAGCTGATTTGTGCTTCCCAAGAGGGGGAGGGCAAAATCAATTAATGGAGAGTCTAACATGGCCAGGCCTGATGGCACAGTGTGGCCTGACATCCGGCAGTGATAAGGGGCTTTCTGAGGCTGAACTAATAAGGAGATTGGAGGAAAAAGAAGAAAAACAACCCTCTCCCTCAGATCGATTTCATGTACAATGGGTAGAGGATGCAGAGTAAACAGAGCCGCTGAGCACGGAGCACGGCCTCTTTCCATCTGAATGAGCCCTGAGATAAGGAAAAGGATGGGCTGCCCACCCCGCCATCCAACATCGGTATTCACTTATGGAGTCATTGAATAGGCGCATATCCGCACAAATGAAAAAGGGCACCTTCCAACCGGAACTAAGGGGAGAAGATAAGGCCCACCCGCCCCAGATACGTCCCCCCTGCAGGGGAAAGGGCACATGGAGAGAAGGAGCCCTGGTTTCAGGTGCTGCCGCCCTAACTGAGCCCTAATAGATGGCACCGGGGGCCAGAGCATCAAGGTCTGCACGTGGTTGTCTGGGCTCCTGGGTCTCCCCACAGTGAAGGGTGTGGGGGCATCCTGTGTGAGGCAGGGGTGGTGCAGATTTGTGTGGGTTTTTGTCTGCCCTCATGGCCAGAGAGTATGATCTCAGGGGAGGTCCATCCCAACTGTGTGACCAGCAGAGAGGACGGGGAAAGCTGAGGGCTGACTTGAGGGAAAAACTCAAAACCAACCAACCAACCAATCAACCAACCAACCAAACTTAGCAGTGGATGGCACATCCTCGTTAAAAGAGTGACCAGATGGGGCCGGCCGAGTGGAGTGTTGGTTAAGAGTTGGCAGTGGGCTGCCGTGAGCTACGGTGAGTGGCTGGCAGCCAGCATGAGCTGCCGTGAGCAGCCGTCCAATGGCTGGTGACTGATCTGCCTCAGCTGGGAAGAGCGCAATAATCACAATACCAACATGGGCCCTTGAAATGACATCCACAACGAGACTGAAGAACAAAAGGACAGCAACTTGTCGGTTCCCCTTCCCCGATTCCCCAACGCTGTTTCCCTCCTCCAATTCCCCAATAAAATCTTTAAAAAAAAAAAAAAAAGAATGACCAGATGGAATAAGTCATGTTAACAGTTAAGGAATTACAATAGGCATCTTTCTGCCTATTTTTAAACACACATCCATTGCGTTAAAAAAAAAGTCCCTGTTTACTTGTCTGTCATTTGTGTCGTTCCTAGGCCTGTTTCTATTCTTATCAACTGGCTTTTCTACTGATTATGGATCATATTTCCCTACTTCTTTACATGCCTGCTAATTTTTGTATTAGACGTCAGACAATCTGAATTCTACATTTTTGGGTGCTGGATTTTTTTTTTTTAATATTCTTTTAAATATTTTTGAGCTTTATTCTGAGACTCTTTGAAGCTACTTGGAAACTTATTGGAAACAGTGTGACTCTTTTGAGGCTTGCTTTGAAAACCTGAGGCAGCTTTTCATTTGGGCCAATTTGGACCCATTTTGAGGCAATACCCGTATTTTCTATTCAATGACCTCTTTTTTTTGAGGAGGTTTCTCCACTTGGGCTGTTGAGAACATCAACCTTTCCCAGCCCTGCGTTATCGCCTGCTCCTTTCTGGTGGTTCTTTCCTGAGCCTTGGGTGTTTTTCTCACATGCATGCATTTGTCAGCAGTTAGGTTAGCAAAAGACTCAAGAGTATCCTCTGCAGATCTCCAGAGAATGCTCTCTCTCTCTCTTTTCCTCCATACACACACACACACACACACACACACACACACACACACATACACACACACATACACGGTGCCAAAAAATTTATACACATTTTAAGAAAGGAAAAAACTGTATTAAAATTATGCTGATGGCAACCACTCTGACCACCTCTTGTAATTGCAGAAGTCAAACGTGGCTTGTATTTATCTTTTGTTATTGGTATATATTGAGTATTATAATTTTAATACTTAAAACTCTTTTTGTCTCTATACACACACACACACACACACACACAAATCTACCTCTATCTCTATATCTACCCCTATCTGTATCATCTCTATCTCTCTTTTATCTCCATCTCTCTCTCTCTCTGGTTCTTTCTCTATCACGTCTATCTCTGTCTCTCTGCAGCTCACTCATCTCTGGTACTCTGCCTTGCAAATTTAAGCTACTTTGGCCTCCCTGGACTCCCAGCTTCATTTCCTCAACGAAAGGAAACCACCACCTGGCTCCTCCTCCCTAAACTGCAGCCCGAACTCTCTGCAGGTAGTAAGTTGGGGCAATCATAGGGCTCATCTCATTTGTTTCTCTTCTTTTGGATATCTGTGTCCTCTAATCCCCCCCCACTTTTTTTTTGAAGATTTTATTAGGGAATTTGGGGAGGGGAATAGTGTTGGGGAATCTGGAAAGGGGAACAGACAAGTTGCTGTCCTTTTTGTTCTTCAGTCTAGTTGTGGAGGACGCCGTTTCACTGGTCCACGTTGGTATTATCATTGCGCTCTTCCCAGCTGAGGCAGTCGGTCGCCGGCCATTGGACGGCCGCTCACAGCTCATGGCAGCTCACGCTGGCTGCCGGCCACTCACGGTAGCTCACAGTAGTCCACTACAGCCCCACTGCAGCCTACACCGTTGCCGGCGACTCACGGCAGCCCAGCTCCTGGTCGAGCTGTTGTTTACAATCTTAGCTGTAGGGGACACAGCATCACTGGCCCATATGGGAATAGAACCGGCGGCCCTGCTGCTCAGAGCTTGGGCTCTTAGGCTAACTCTTAACCAATTGAGCCACTTGGTCGGCCCCCTCTACTGCCTTTTATTCATTAACTGAAAACCGTTGTTTTATATATCTTGTCTAGTTTTCAGTTGTTTAAAGCAGGAAGGTAAATCAGGTCCTTGTTGCTTTATCATGCCCATAAGTAGAAATCCCATTTTTTCCATACACAGCCTTTTTTCAAGTACCTTTCGAGAGGTGGTATGATGGGACCAAATAAATTCTGAGAAATTCTGGATCTAGTTATTTCTATATTAGTCAGCTATTGGTACAATTAATGTTTCATAAAAAACCACCTCAAGTTTCAGTGGCTTATGCCCACAAGCATTTATTCTCATGATGATGGATTTTTGGGTTCAGTTGATCTGGGCTGGGATGGATGGAAAGCTATGTTTTAAGCTCCAGGTCCACTGGGCTTGGCTCCAGGCTGTAGGCTGGGCTCAGGTCTGCTCTCTGTATGCCCTGGGGTTCAGGATGAAGAGGCAGCAGCTACCCAGGGCACGTTCTCACAGCAGGTCACTGGAGTGCAACAAGCAAGCCCAACCATGCAAGCACATTTTATTTAAACCTCTGCTTGCATCATATCTGCCAGCATCCCACTGGCCAAAGCAAGTCATAGGGCCAAGTCCAAATGTAAGGGGTAAGGAAGTACACTCTGCCCTCATGCGGCCATGGCAAAGCTTTGGATGTATAATTCTATTACAGCGGGTGAAGAATTAAGACTAGTAATTCAATCTACCACAGGTTTTCTATCTGCCTTTTAAAAATTCCTTTTTTGGGAGAGCTGAGCAAGCCACATTCGAAACCCCCTCTCCCAACATTTCTTGTCAAGGGGATGGTAGAGCCAACCGAATTCTAGTAGGGACTGGAGTCACCGGCCAGGCTGCTTTCCAGAAGACATTTTGGAAAGCTCCACATTTTGGCTTGAAATGAACTCAGATACTCTGGACCTCCATAGCTCCACTGACCGCAGGTGGATTGCTGGAGAGTCTTTTCAGAACATTTCCTCCATTTCTCCCATTTGCAGAGGCCAATGCACTTTGGGGACGATGCACTATAGTCGAGTATGTTCACATCAAAGGCCTACTTTCCACTGGGAGGGGGTTTTTGGAGGGGAGACTCCTTCCCCAGTTGCTGCACATACTTTGCATATGACCCTGTTGGTAGGATACCACTGTCCCAGGATTGCCTGCTGTCTGTTTTTCTTTCTTCTTCATTTCCTCTCCTGCCTTGGTGATCACTCCAGGAGGCGATTCACACCTCGTGTGGGGCCACACCGCACATCTCTGTCAATAAGTCCTTTGGATCCAGGAGATAACTTCTCAGCAGGAGATCTAAAGTCAATAGATGCTAGCCAGCTCTAGAGGGCTGAGGGCAGTGAAGTGTGCCAGGTACATGAAGGCTGTTTCCGAGGGACTCTGGCCAACTCCATGTCATGTTCAGGACTCCTGAGCGTGTCTATGTGTGTACGTGTGTGTGTATTTACATGTATGGCTCATGGACTCTTGGGGAGGCTTCTAAAACCCTGTCAGCGCCCTGTTTGGTCTTTCCAGGGTCTATAGACTTTCCTGAGGACTTACTATGCGCCATAGAACTGTGAGGGCCAGAAGTAACCAGACAGACTGGACCCTGCCCTGATGGGCCTCCGTCACAGAGTCAGAGTGAAGCGGTGGGAGTGATACCAGCCTGAGAAACAGGAGATCTGGGTTCTGACTCTCCCACTCATCAACTGAAGGAATATTTATCAAGTACTCAGGGACTCAGAGTGCTGGGTCCACAGTAATGAACAAGACAGACAGGGTCCTGTTGTCATGGAGATTTTCGTCTTGGGGAGGGGGCAAGGTTTGCAGGCCATAAAAATGTAAGCAAATAAAGAGGATATGTCAGATAGTAATAAAGAAAATTAAACAGTCATGGGATAGAGAGTAACTAGGGGACACCAATACTTGGGGTGGTCAGGGAAAGACCTGACGAGGGGACATTTGCTACTAACCAGATGTCCATCAGCAAGCCAGACTCTCCCCTTTGTTTCAGCTTTCTAGCTATGTAAATGAGGGTGTGGGTTAGAGGAGCGCTATGGGACTGTCCAGCTTTGAAATGTAAGGATCTATCTTCTCCTGCATGATCTTTTTACCCAGTCCTGGAAAGGGGGAAATAAGCCAATTATACCGTATTCTCTCTATGCTCTCTCTCCAGGAAGGTGAGGTCCTGTATTTATAAGTCAGAGATAATAGCAGTGGACAGGCACTTTTATTCAGTAGCGTCATTTCCAGGTATCATTCCTATCCCCCGCCTCCAGTGCCCCTCGCTAACTGCAGCTATCTTGGAACCTTGCTGCCACACCCCGATGCTTGTGGCATTTCTCCTAGGGTCTCCTGAGGGCTGGCCCACCCTCTGCTGGATTTGTATCAGGAGCCAGGTCCTGGGGTGTGGGGAGGCTGACTGAGACAAAACCCCCGGCAGCTATATTTCCCCAGTGGGAACGGGGAGTTTCGGCCCAAATCCTGTACAGCCCCAAGTGGTTTGGTGAGGGTGTAAGGTCCAAGGTGCCCACACTGCAGGGCTCCTCGGAGCCTTCCCTGCTCTCTGGGTGCTGTGATGTCCTTACACCCTGAAGGGTGGGTGGCTCTCTAGAGACACAGCTGATTTAGGAGCCGCCTATATGGGTCATCCAGACCTGAGGGTGATGGTGGAGGGTTTGGCCCTGGAGGCTCGGACTGGCCATCAGATGCCATGCATTCCACTGTCTTGTCTTTGGCTTTGACCTGCTGTCTAGCTGTCCCAGCTCTTCCCAGGATTCTAAGCCAGTGGGTGGGGGCAGGGGAGCGACTGGTAAATGGCAAAAATAACTGATGATAATTTCCCTCCATTCTACCAGTGTGAGCTTCCCCTGCCACTACATTATGCTGGTGCTATTTCATAATCTCAAAGGTTTATCATCGTCTATGCCAAACACCACTACAAGGGTGAGCTGAAGTCCCTGTCCTGTCCCTAGCACCCTGGCATTGCCTGGCCCTGCCAGCAGCTTCAGCACTCACAGCAAAGATGGCCCCAGCCTCACTGGCAGCCTCCAGAACAGCATTCTTAAAGCAACACAGTCCCTTCCATTGAAATCAGTCACTAGTTGCTCCCAGCAGCCTACAGATCACATCTGAAGTCAGGGCGAGTGAGAGGAGGCGCTTTCATCTGTAGTCTGTTCTCGCTGCCACAGTGCATGACTGGACACTTACTGGAAACCTGAAAGGAGACAGGATGTTCTTGGTTAGGCTGTGCATGGGGCACTGATCTCTCCTGGGACTGAAGGGCAAGGGGAGGAGGCTGCAGTGCACCTCTCAGTGCCCTGGGTCTCGGGCAGTGCACCTCTCAGTGCCCTGACTCCCAGGGGCTGCAGGTACTTTCCCAACTCTGAAGGAATATGCCTTCTTTGCCCTCTGCAAGTTTCATCTCCCTGAGCCAGAACCAACACTCATTCTCCAACCCCACAGTTCTCACTGACGCTCCTTGCTTTTGCTCCAGATATTCAGCATCGTCCATCATGGCTTCTCCTGACCATGTGGCCCCATCCTGTCACCTTCCATGCCTGGGCATGGAGAAGGGTTCTCTGGATTAAGAACCAGGGCTCGAATTCTAGCCAGGATGGTCCCCAACCCGGCGAGTGACTTTGGGCAAATCATGTTAGTTCCCTGAGCCTCACTTTTCTCGCTTCCCAATCCCTGGAGCAGATGAAGTACCTGGGACTAGCATGGTCCCTGGCTTCTCAAAGTGTGGTCCATGAACCAGCAGTACTGGCATCCCCAGGGAGCTTCTTAAGAAATGCAGACTATTGGACCCCGCCCAGGCTCACTGGACCAGAATCTGCAGTTCAACAAAACCCCTCGATTGACTGGCTCATTGAAGTGTGAAGGCAACTGGTATGAGTGACATGCAGTTAATTTGCTTCAACTTAGGCTATCACAGTAAGAACAAAGGGACTTTCTAAAGATTCTTGGGTGGAGTAATGAACACAATGTCTAAAAATTACTACAGCAGGCAGAGAGATTGAAGGGTGAGGCAGCTGCAGCCATCCAGGTGTGAGTGTGGTCTGCTTGATACTGTTGAGGAAGAGGTTGAAAACAATTCAAGGCTATGAGCCCTTGGTCCTTCAGGTCTCATTCTGTATGCAAGACCCCAGGCTGGTCTCACCGTTCTCAGAGATGGTCCTTATTTTGAAGACATTCCTAGCTGTTCTAATTTCACCCTAGAACAGGAAGGAAGACCAGCAGGCACACCAGAGCATACAATGCTGATGTCTTCCAGTTGCTTTGCACCCATGATTCCCAGCTCTGCTGCCTGCTGGGAAACCTGATGCCCAGGCCACTCCCAGGGCAGATTACATCAGAATCTCTGGAGTGGGCCCAAGTGACTTGGGTGAATAGCCAGGCTTGAGACCCACTGCTTCCATTTCTCTATTCCAAGGATTGGCGAGGACAGATCCTGGGGACCACCAGCCATGTGGCTGTTGACCAAGTCCCTGGTCTGATGTTTCCTCTGCGCCATTGACAAGCAGCCTGAACCAGAATTAGTTAACGCTGCCAGCGGTGAGGAGCATGGAGTCTGAGCCACCTCCCACCCCAGGACTCTCACTGCCCCCCACAGACACTGACTGTCGTGCAGTGATAACTGGAAGTGGGGGCAGGGCAGAGAAGAAACACCGCAGAGCTGTGCTTAGAGAGGACAATCCTCATGGCTCCTCATGTCGACAGACCCCAACCCAAAATATAAGGTGTCATTTCTAGTTCATGCTTGACTGTATGAACCCCAGTTAAGTGTTGGAGCTGTCAGTCTATGTTGGGGTTTTGAGACTGTAGATTCCTGGAATGATGGTAATGCTACAGACAAACCATTAAAAAAAAAAAATCACACCTCACCGTGTAGGGCCAGCTCTCACCACAGAGGCCGGCTTCTCTGCTAACAGCCCCCTGCTGCTTGGCAGTGTACGAGGGACTTCCACAGACATTATCTCAGGAGAGGCTGACCAGTGGGGCAAAGGTAGAATCTGCACTTGAGAGACGTGGGAGGGACATGGCGGAGGTGACCTGCCCAAGGTCACACAGAGTAGAGGTAGCCCTTGTGTTTAGGTCTCTTCCCTCCTAGTTCTGTGTTCTTTCCATTTCACTGGGAAGGTTCCTAAACAAAGGAGAGAGCTGGAGGGTTTCTCAGCGTGGGGATGGTGGTGGGGGGGGGGGGGTCGGCGAGGGCTTGGAGGCACCCAGCTTCTTCCTGGCACCAGCTGGAGAAGAGGGCATCGTGGTCATGGGGGTCACACCATGGCTCCTGTCCAGATGAAAATACTTCCCAATTCAGGGATTCAGGAAGATTAAAAAAAAAAAAAACAACAAAGCGCTACAAAGGAGTTAACCTCATTTTCTGAGACTTTAAAGCCAGCCTTGGCAGTAAGGAACAGCAGATATGACACCATCAATGACTAACGCCCCTTATGGGGGCTATAGGCCTGTCCACAGGTGCCCCTGGAAGGGATCGAAACGTTCCACGGCTTTCCCATGAATCTTAAATCAAGGAGATTCATCCTGGACCTTGGCGAGGTCTAAGAGCCAGCTGAAGGCTCATGTTAAATCGCCCTTTCTGGGCTCCTGCTCCCAGGCTGATAGTCAATTTCCCCCATAATGAGCACCCCCGAAGAAGCCCAGACACACAGGCTGCTGAATGAAGAGCAGAGGGGGCCCAGGGGAGAGGCAAGTGTTTGCTTTGGCTGGGGAGGCGCCTGGGCCCTGGCCGGCATGTTTGCCTGACAGGGAGGCCTGATAAGTGGGCTGTGTAGAAAGTGCTGCGTGGTGGGGCCTGGGCCATCTGCCACGTGTCCGGAGAGGCTGCACCTGCTGGCCTGTCAGCCCCGACCTGGCAGGAGAGGGACCTTTTGTCATCCTGTCTTCAGCCTCTTTAGCAGCCCCATGGTCTCTAAGAACCTAAAATTATTTTACTTGCCTTAAGAATAAAAACTGAACCCTTGAACTTGTTTGTTTTGATGAATTGCTTCCAGACTGCTGTTTGTTTGGAGAACAAAACTCGCTCCCCAGTGGTCGGGAGGGTGGAGGCTGAGAGACCAACCCCCAACAGCAGCCTGGCTTTTGAAGACAGTGTGTCCCCGTGGAGGGACGGCAGAAAACCTCAGCTCTCCTGGCTCTGCCATTTGTTCTCTGAGCAAATGACCCAATCTCTGTGTGCCTCAGTTTCCTCATCTGTCAAAAGTGGGATCAGACTCTTGGCTCTGTATACCTTATAGAAGTATTGAGAGCATCAAATGAAAAAAAAGTATGACTGGGAACATGGATGGAAAAGTCTCTATTATGTGTACAAAAGCTGAATAAACATAACTTTAAAATATTGCTCACTTGCAGACTTCTTGACGGGGGAAATAACAGTTGATTTTTATGAATTTGTTACAGGGCGTAGGGCCTCCCTACTCCAAAAGCCAACCTCTCTTTCCACTATGTCTAGCCACCATTCCCGGGTCTTCCTCAAAGGATTTTCTCCTGCAGGTTTGGACCCCTTTTCTACAACATCAGTTTCCTTTGTTCTACTGGGCCATTCCTTTCAGCATATAAACATATCTTTGAAACCATTTAAACAAAAACACTCCCCATCTCAGTGCCCTATTTCCCTCTAGCTCCGGCCTCATTTCCTGCTACTCTTCACAGCCGAGCTCCCCGGAGGAGTTGTTTCCACACACTGCCTCTACTTTCTCTCCTCCCCTTCTTTCTTCAACCACTGCAGCCAATGGGGTTTTCATTCTCCCAGTCCCCTGCCTGAAAGGGCGCTTGTCCAGGACTTCCATGACATGCAGAATGGCTAATGGTCAATGTTCCGTCCTTGCTGACTCAAGCTCTCAGCAGCACTGGACTCTCCTGGCCCATCTCTCCTTGGAACCCATTCCCCTGTCGACCTGCCTGAAGTCACTCACTCACCTGCAGGCCCTTCTCTCACCCTGGCCAGCCTTCTCAGTGACTTTGGCTGGATCTGCCCACCTACCTCCAAATGTCACAGCGCCCAGGGATCTGTTGTCAGCAACTGGAATTACCCAGTGCCATGGCTTTACACACTGTCCAGACCTCCCTGCTGAGCTCTAGACTCAAGTTCAGCTGCCGATTCAACGTTTCTGGGATCTCACATGGCATCTGAAACTCTGAGTGAGCCAAGTGGAACTCTTAAATCTTCCAGCCCTTTCCCTCTCATGTCCGCCCCTCCTTGCCTTTCTTGTTTTACAACGTGGCACTGCCATCCTGTTAGCTGCTCAGGTCAGAAGCCCAGGAGCCCCCTGGCTCTCCTACCTCCCTCACATCTCACGTGAAATCCGCTGGTAAGCCCAGGATGCCCTCACCCCTTGCGTGGACTCTGCCAGGGGCCTGATAACCGTGCAGCTCCTGGTCCTGTACAATCTACACTACATACAACAGCCAGAGTGAGCTCGCCAAAGCATCCATCAGATCACAACCCGCCATGGTTTAAATTTTTCAGTGAGTTCAATAGAACCCAAGCCCCTTCACAAGACCCGTGTGATCTGGCCCCTGCTGCCTCGCTCAGCCCTCCAGCCACTCTGGCCTCCTTCTCACCCAGTGACCAAGCAAAGCTTCTTTCCTTTCGGGGCTGTTCACGTTGGGCTTGGAACTCTCACTCACAGAACGCCGGCAGGGCTGCCATTTTCGTTGCTCAGCTCTCAGTTTCAGGTTCTCTTCTTCAAGGGGGCCTCCCCACCCACTCAGCCAAAGGCAGCGTTCCCTGATGCTTTCTACAGCGTTACACGTTTTAACTACTTCATAGCACTCGTTAGCACCTCAAATGATCTTATGTATCTGTTGATGTGTTTATCGTCTATCTCATCCCTCCTCCCAGAATGTCAAGGGCTTGGCTCTATCTTACTCACCGCTATGGCCTCTGCACTGGTACAGTGCCTGGTATACAGTAGGTACCCAATTAATTGTGTTCTTTCACTGACGGGCTGTGCAGAACTGTTTAGTGTCCAATACACATCATTAGAGTGTTTTGGGGATAGACGGGGCCTTGGAGATCACCAAATACAAATTTAAGTTTTTTCTTTTTTCTTTTTTATACAAGTTAACTGAGGATGAGAGAAGGCATGTTATGTGGTCAGGGTGTCACAGCAGCTTGGAGGCAGAGCCAGCCTATCTCAGGTCTCAGAGAAGACACAACAGTGATGCTGATGTTGCTGATCCTAGTGCTGAAGAGAGGACTGTAAGCAGATGGCATCCCAGTGAGGGGGCCTGCTTGCTACTGGTGAGGATGACACGGCAAAGGCCATCCTTTACTTGGGGTGCTCTATCCACATGCAAACCTTCTCCTGTCTAAGCTGCAGAGAGTTGGTCATGAAGCTGAGTGTAGGCCTCTCAGGGGAGGTGTCAGTTGACACCTGCCTTCACATGAGTCAAGGTGCCTTGTTGACATGTGAAAGCAATGCTAAGCCTGTCTCATAGCCTTTGAATCTCTGGGACAAGGCTAAGACTCACAGCAGGCTTGGGTAAGGGGCCCTGGGGCCCGTCCCTATGGGCAGCAGAAGGGAAGGCCTGTCCACAGCCGGTGGGCAGCTGCCAAGAGAAAGGCAGGGAGCTCAGTGACGAAGGCCAGGAAGGGTCTTTCTCTTCCTGTTGCCTGACACACCACACATTTCTTCTGTAACTGTTATGGTGTCCTCACACCTGAGCCATCAAGTGGTGTTTACATCCACAACTCACTAGCAAGAACCACGCTCCAACAGGAGAGTGATATTTCTAGCCAGGTGTCCAACAAGTTACCAAACCAAAGGAGAGCTGGCTGTGGGGACAGAGAACAAAGGGGGTGAAGAACTGGAAGAGGGACAGCAGCTTTGCCAAGCAGGGCAGGAGCGTCTGGGCCGCCCACCCGCATGGGCCTCTCTTGGGGTTTCTGATGCTGCCTCCTGGGACTTCCTCCAGGCGGAAGCAGAGGCCTGGCACACGTGAAGTGACCGCAAGGCCAGTCCTGTGGCTTCGGGAACAGGCAGGAAGGTTCCTACTTCCTTCTTGCCTCACTGCTTGCTCTAGCCTTCCTCCTTCGCTCCCCGCAAGTGCTGGTGGGCAAAGTGGGGTGACCCCGGAGGGAGTTGCACTTACATTTCTTCTGCAGAATGCTCTGTCTGGCCTTGATGAATGCCAGAATGTCAGAGTCCGTCTGGCTGTCCCCGGTGAGAGGGATGGATGATGTTGGTCTCTCAGGGAGGCTGGGGACAACCACAGGTCACATTTTACTACACTTCACGTTTGGACTCAGTGTTTACCTTTCCAAAGTGCTTTTCCATTCCTAGTGACCGGATCTCACCCAGGAAGCTGTGCGAATGAATTTGCCTCCCTCTCACTCCCTCCCCCTTCTCTGTGTAGTGGCCACAGCAATCCTTTACATGCAAACGCGTCATGTCCTCCCCTGGCTTAAACCCCTTAGTGGCTTCTCATCACTCTTGGAATGAAATCCAAACTCTGTCCCTGTGTGATCTGATCCCTGGGTGATCTGGCCCCTGGTTCACCACACTCAGGCCACCCTGCCCATCTTGTACTCCAATTCCCCAAGTTCCTTCCAGCTGCAGGCTCTTTTCTTTGGTCTCCTTTCCCAAGACTGTTCTCCCCGCAGACCTTACCATGGCTGAATGTGCATTCTCTTACCACCTTCTCCATCCCTCACCAACTTATCTTGCACTCCTCCAACTTAGTTCCCTTGCCTCCCAACTTACCCAAAGCAAGCCATTTGACCTGGGTCCTGTCTCCTTCAGCACCTAATTTGAATCTCACGTCCTTTAGGATGTCTCTCCAGTGCATCCTCACACCCCACCATGGCCTAGCTAGTTGCTCCTGAGGCAGAGATAACTATTTTTCCCTCCCTTCTTAAAAACAGAACCGTAATATTTAGCAAAGTAAGTTGCCATGGCTAAAAAACCCTACATTTCCCAGCCTCCTTTGCAGCTATGTGTGGCCAGATGACCAGGTTCTGGCCAATAAGACTTATAAGAAGGGTGGGATTTTCAGGAAGTCCGCTTAAAAAAGGAAGGATATATGTGGCCTTCTTCCTCCTCTTTCTCCATCCAATTCCCATATTAAGAACATTCAGAGCAATGTACTCTCCTGGCTTTGTCAAGCGTCCATCCTGATACTTGTCCCTCCACACAGCAGGTGACAGTATCCACTCCTTTAGAAGGTGGTGAGGATTGGGTATAATAAAGCATTGTTCATTATCACAAGTAATTTTTGGTGTCAGCATTCCAGCTGCAGCTCAGTGAGAAGTGCTAAAGCAGTTACATCAGGGAGGGCTGGGTGCTGTTCTGGAGATGGCCCTTCTGTCTGGGTCCGGGAAGGGCATGGTGGAATTCACCCTTGGACATCTTGGAAGAAGAGTCGGGTCTGCCAGGTGAAGAAGGGCACACAGGCCTTCTAGTCGGAGGGCACAAAGAGCAGGTGAGAGCCCTGATCTACCCCATCCAGCCTGTAGTGAATGGCTCATGGGACTGAGGCCGGGCTTGTAAACCCTGTGTCTTTCCCTGCCTGGGGACCCTGCAGTGGGGCTAGCAGGCTACGTCGGAACTGCCCCTGATCCAGCTCTTCTTTACTTTAATGGCCCCAGGTACAATTATTCACAAGGAGACGGGAAGCAACTCAGCCTGTACATGGCCCCAGTGACCCTGGGAGAAAATTCCTCGGCTCTGGGCGTCGGCATCTATGAGAGATTCCAGGGGATCCCAGGGTACCCAGGGGGAGACCAGCTCCGGGCTATGTCTGTGCACCACCCAACCAGGGATCCTCGGGTTGTAGGGGAAGCAGACTGACGATTTCAGTCCACTGCACCCGTAGTGGTTGTCACAGGCATCAGAGGGAGGAGAAGACCACAGACCTGCCATCCAGGGACGTGCTGGTTCTGTCCTGCTCCTGGCTGTGCAGGACGGGGCAAGATGGGGGCGGGGTTTTCCTGGCATTCACATCCCTGTAGAAACCAAACCCAGGAAGGAAAGGGATTAGGAGGTTTACGGGAGATTCTGATGGGGAACTGATCGCCAGCCTCCAGAACTGTGAGAAATAAATGCATTCCTATAGTTGAAGCCACCCAGTCTGTGGTATTTTGTGTTGGCAGCCCAAGCTGACTTAGACAGGAGGCTGTGGATGGTGTGGATGGGGTCTTAGTCAGCTCAGGCTGCTATAACAGAAAACCAGAGACCAGGTGGCTTCAACTACAGGATTTATCTCTCACAGTTCTGGAGGCTGGACGTCTGAGATCAGGGTGCCAGTGTGGTTAGGTTTCTGTGAGAGCTCTCTTTTGGATTGCAGACGCTGACTGCTGATGTCCTCACATGCTCTCTGGCCTCTTATAAGGTCACTAATCTCATTAAGAGAGCCCCACCTAATCATCTCCTAAAGACCTCCACCTCCAAATACCATCACATTGGAGATTCATTTCAACATGCATTTTTGGAGGACACATTCAGTCTATAACATTCTGCCTCTGGCCCCCAAAATACAATACATGTCTGCCTCACAAGCAAAATACATTCATTCCACCCCTCCAGCCCCAAAAGTCTTAACTTGTTCCTGTATCAGCTCTAAAGTCTAAAGTCCAAAGTCTCGTCTAACTACCATCTAAATCAGAGATGGGTGCAACTCCGGTACCCTTGTTTGAGTCACCCTGAGGTCAACTTTCTCTCCAGCTGGGAACCTGTGAATTCAGATAATTTACGTGCTTCCAGGCATAGGATAGACATTCCCATTTCAAAAGGGAGAAACAGGAAAGAAGGAACGGGTGATGAGTCCCAAGCAAGTCTAAAACTTAGGAAGGGAAACTCCATGAGATCTTATGGCTCAAGAATAATCCTTTTCAGCTTATGATCTGCCTTTCAGACCTACTAGGGTGAAGGTCCTGCCTTCTGGACCCACTGGGGTGGAGGTCAGCCTGTCTGTGCTGGGCAGGGGTTGTACCCTCATGGTTCTGCTGGGCGGCCCTGTCTCTACAGCTTTGCACAAAGGCTGTCTGGCCTGTTGAAAGTAAGGTAATGCTTCCCCCTTTTAAAATGGACGGCCAGCCCTGATGATCTCCGATTCACTTTTGGAGACCTTCCTTTGCCTTGAAGAAGAGTGCATGCATGTTCATAGCAGAATAGCTCTATGGTCCTGTTCTGTAAAATTTAAGTGGTCCAACAGCCTGCCTTTATTTTTTCATTGCCTTCTTTTCAGTTCAAACTGACAGTTTTCCTGCTGGGATGGCTGATTAAGTCCATGGTTCACCCCCACACTAATCTTAGTTCTCACACCTATGTTTAGTGTTCACACCCACACTTAGTGTTCACACCCACACTTAGTGTTCTCTTCTGAAGATACTTTCTCGTCTTTGCCTTCTGAATAGGCTGAGCATTTTCTAAATTTTTACATTCTAGTTCTTTTTTTGCTTAATAACTCCCTCTTCAAGTCATTTCTCTCTTCTTATATTTTACAATAAGCAGTCAGGAAGAAGCAAGCCATTTCTTCCACACTTTGCTTGGAGATCCCCTCAGCTAATATTCGATTTCATCATGTGCAAGTTCTGCCTTCCACAAAACACTGGAACATGAGCACGATTCAGCCAAGCATTTTTTTTTGCCACGTTGTAACAAGGATTGTCTTTTCTTCAGTGTCCAATAATGTGTTCCTCATTGTTGTCTGAGATTTCATCAGAATGGCCTTTACCATCCATATTTCTAGTAACATTCTGTCCATGATCATTACGTCTTCTCTAAGAAGATGGACTCTTTCTCTACATCTCTCTCCTTTCCTTCCTGAGCCGTCACAGTTGCCTTTAAAAGCCCCTTCACCATCCCAGGTGCTTGTAGCAGGCACTTCAAAGCTCTTCCAGCCTTTACTCATCACCTGGTTGCAGAGCTCCTTCTACGTTTTTAGGTATTTGTTCGAGCCGCATGCCACTTCTGGTACTGATTTCTGCCTTAGTCAGCTCAGGCTGCTATAACAAAGTGCTGTATGGCTTATATATACTCGTATAATGGAAATGTATTTCTCACAGCTCTGGAGGCTGGGAGTCTGAGATCAGGGTGCCAGTGTGGTCCGGTTCTGATGAGAATCCTCTTCTGGGTTGCAGACTTCCTGACTTCTCATGGTGTCCTCATGTGGAAAGAAAGTGATCCTAGCTCTTTGGCCTCTTCTTATAAGGGCACTAATCCCATTCATGAGGGCTCCTCCCTCATGATCTAATCACTTCCCAAAGACCCCCATCCCCAAATACCATCACGGTGGGGTTAGAGTTTCAACATACAAATTTTTCAGGACACAGACATTCAGTCCCTAACAGATGTTTCATATATTAATTTTCATGTTGGAGCAGTGCATGTATTAGATGTGCAAGTTGAACAAAAACAACAAAGATCAGAACTATCATTGATAGACACCGCCTACACACCAGGTCCAGGGAAAGCACTCGACAGACATCATGCCATTTAATTCTCTCAATAGCCTCATTATCTCCATTATACACATGAGAAAACAAGCTTGGAGAGGTTAAAGAAACTTTAAAAGTTAACCATTTGATAAGTGGGGGAATCTGGATCTAATCACAACTCTATGAAGCTTCAGAACCCATGCTCTCAGCTATGTTATTTTAAAAAAATGTGTTTATTATATTTTATTATGTATTTAAAAATTTTTGTTAAATTTATTGGGGTGACATTGGTTAGTGAAATTATATAGATTTCAAGTGTGCAATTCTATAATACATCATCTATATAGTTTTGCATTGTGTGTTCACCACCCAGAGTCTGTTCTCCTTCCGTCACCATAAAATTGACCCCCTTTACCCTCTTCTACCACCCCCCTCCCTACTTACCCTCTGGTAGCCACTAAACTGTTGTCTGTGTCTATGAGTTTTTGCTTCTTTGTTTGCTGCTCTCCAGTTTTATATCCCACATATGAACGAAGTTATGGTTCTCAACGTTTTCTGTCTAGCTTATTTTGATTAGCATGATAATCTCAAGATCCATCCATGTTGTTGCAAATGGAAGTGTTTCATATTTTCTTATGGCTGAGTAATATTCTGCTGTGTATATGTACTACGTCTCCTTTATCCAATCATCTATTGAAGGACACTTTGGTTGTTTCCATGTCTTGGCCACTGTGAATAATGCTGCAATGAATATAGGGGTACATATATCTTTACAGATAAATGTTTTTATATTTTTTGGGGCAGATACTCAGAAGAGGGATTGCTGGGTCATATGATAATTCTATTCTTAATTTTTTGAGGAAACGCCATACTGTTTTCCATAGCAGCTGTACAAATTTACATTCCCACCAGCAGTGTATGAGGGTTCCTTTTTCTCCACAACCTCTCAACACTTGTTATTACTTGTCTTGTTCATGATGGCCATTTTAACAGGTGTGCGGTGGTATCTCATTGTGGTTTTGATTTGCATTTCCGTAATCGCTAGTGAAGTTGAACATTTTTTCATGTAACTATTGGCCATTTGTAAGACTTCTTGGGGGAAGTGTCTGTTCAGGTCCTCGGCCCATTTTTAAATTGAATTGTTTGCTTTTTTGTTGTTGAGTTGTTCAAGCTTTTTATATATTTTGGATATTAGCCCCTTATCAAAGGTATTGTTTGCAAATATCTTTCCCCATTTGGTTGGTTGCCTCTTTGTTTTGTTGATGGTTTCTTTTGCTGTGTAGAAGCTTTTTTTTATATATAGTCCCATTGATTTATTTTTGCTTTTACTTCCCTTGCCTCTGAGGTCAAATTCATAGAATCCTCTCTGAACCCAAGGTCCTTAAGTTTAGTACCTATGCTTTCTTCTATGCAGTTCATTGTTTTAGGTCTTATGTTTAGGTCTTTGATCCATTTTGAGTTAATTTTGGTATATGGTGACAGATAGCAGTCTAGTTTCATTCTTTTGCATGTGGCTTTCCAATTTTCCCAGCATGATTTATTGAAGAGGCTTTCTTTTCTCCATTGTATGTTTTTGGCTCCTTTGTCAAAAAACGATCTGCCCATATATATGTGGGTTTATGTCTGGGCTCTCAATTCTATTTTATTGGTCTGTGTGCCTATTTTTCTGCAAATACCATGCTGTTCTGATGATTGTCACTTTGTAATATAAACTGAAGTTAGGGAGTGTGATCCCTCTAGCCTTATTCTTTTTTCTTAGGATTGCTTTGGCTATTAGGGTCTTTTGCAATTCCATACAAATCTGATGATTTTTTTTGTTCTATTTCTTTAAAAAATGCCATTGGGATTTTGATGGGGATTGTATAAAATCTGTATATTGCTTTAGGTAATATGGCCATTTCAACTATGTTGATTCTTCTAATCCATGAACATGGAATATCCTTCCATTTCTTTGTGTCTTCTTCAATTTTTAAAAATAATGTCTCACAGTTTTCAGTGTATAGGTCCTTCACATTCTTTGTTGTTTCTTTCTAGGTATTTTATTCTTTTTGTTGCAATTGCAAAATAAAGTTTTCATTTATTTTTCTGAAATTTCATTGTTATTATATAAGAATGCAATGGATTTTTGTACATTGATTTTGCATCCTGCAACTTTACTGTATTTATTTATTGTTTCTAGTAGTTTTCTAGTAGTTTTTTTGGTGGAGTCTTTAGGGTTTTCTTTGTAAAGAATCATGTCATCTGCAAAACAAACAAACAAAAAAACCAACCAAAAAAAACAACCAAAAAATACAAGTTAACTTTTTCATTCCCCATTTGGATGCCTTTTATTTATTTATTTTGCCTGATTGCTCTGGCTAGGACTTCCAATATTAGCATGTTATTTAATCTCCACATATTTGTAGTTTTTTTTCCCTCTTTCTTTTTGCAGTTATCTCCAATTTCAAAGCATTGTGGTCAGAGAATATGTTTGATATGATTTCAGTCTTCTTAAATTTGCTGAGGCTATTTTTGTGTCCCAATGATGGTCTATACTTGAGAATTTTTCATGTGCACTAGAAAAGAAT